AGGGGAGGGCGCTTGAATGCAGAGAAAGAAAGAGAGGGTAATGACGAGAAGTTAGCGCTGCGTAATTTGATATAGACCTTATTGTACCTTGGGTTTAGCTTCCCTGGACTTCTACAGAAATTGAAAAAAAGGAATTTGAAGCGAGATGTTAATATAGAGGAGAAATAATGCAAATAAAACAGAAAAAAATCAACACAGATATCCGATCGAGATGAATCATGAAGAAATCTAATTAGACTTTATTTAGGATTAATCCACCATTTAGAATGAAGAAATGCAAAATGGCCTCGAAAAAAAAACAATGCGTTTTGTAAGTAATACATTCAATTTTGGAATGCATTAAATCGAAACTATGTTAATAAGAGGTGAAAATACGCTTCTAGAATCATCCAAGTAGAAAATTAACGTTGCTTGGTAAAATTACATTTAAGCATTCCGATTATCATAAGTGTGCCCACTCAAGGGAATTTTCCTTCCTAAGGGGAAAAATATGCACCCCTTTTCCGGTGGTGCGTTAAGAAAAGCAGGGGAGGGTAGGGAATGGAAGAGAAAAATGAGCGATTATGTTGTTGTTTTCTACACATACTTCCCTAAATGATCAAGACATTAACCCTTCATATTAGTTTAAAAAAAAATACATATCGTCCCTCACTTCGAGCGTTCCAAATCTTTCAACATAGCACCCAGTTCTTCTTGTTGCTGCTCCAACCACTGCAAGCCTCCCTTCGCCCGAAACTCCTCGTATTGCTTGGCATACTTCGCGACCTCCTTCTGGTACTTCTTGATGTCCTTCTCAAGCACCACCTCGCCGTTTGCCAGGCGTGAGGGCAGTCCCGTCGCCGGGTCGAAGGCGGAAAACTTCTTCTCACCCGCGCGGCGTTCGCCATCCTGCCGGGCGAAGAATTCCGTCGGGTCGTAGCGGAACTGCCGCCACTTGGTGAGCTGCTTTTCCCTCGTCTCGATTTGGTTCTGCAATTTCACCCGCCGGCCCATTTCCTCCTTCTCCCGGCGCGCCATCAGCTCCTTACGGAGCGCCGCCGGCTCGTCGTTCCTCCACGTTGTGGGGCCCGTGGGGTTATCCTCGACGCGAAGCCCGGCATCCACCAGCGCCTCATCGCGTAAGTGATCGCAAAGGGGCAGAAACGCCGCGCCGAGCTTCTCCCGCTTCGCCACCTCGCGGACGTCATCGCGAAAGCGAACGAGGGCGTCCATCACCTGCGCGAGGCGGCCCTCCGCGGCGGGGGTTTCCACGCCGTGCGGCGTCGCCCGCGACAGCCCCACGGCGTCGTTGCCTTCCACCACCCCAAAGACCTGAAAGATCCGGGTGATATACCGCGCGACTTTCCGCAAAAGCGTCGCGCTCGGTCGCTCCGGGCAGAGCATGTAGCGATTCGTCGAGGCCACCAACGACATAAGCAGGGCGAGGGCGGTGGGGGTGTCGAAGTTGTTGCGGAGGGCCTCGTGGACGCCGCGCTCGGTTGTCGCCCAGTGCTCGAGGAGCTCGCGGTCGTGGGCGTCGGCGCCCTGGGGCTTTGCCCAACTATCCCCGCGCAGGATCACGTCGACGTTGCCGAAAAAGGCGCGGAGGATGCGCGCCTTCTCGGACGCCTCGTCGAGGGACTGATCCGAGAAGTTCATCGGCCGATTCCACGGGTTGGACAAGAAAAGCAGCCGCATCTCCCGCGGCGACACCCCCAGCTCGTCTAAGCACTGCCGAATCGTGATGAAGTTCTTGAGGCTCTTGCTCATCTTGAGGCCTTTGATGTGCAGGTGGCCGCAGTGCATGAAATAATTCACCCACTGCTTTTTCATCCCGAACGCCTCGCTCTGGGCGCACTCGTTATCGTGGTGGGGAAACTTAAGATCCCACCCCCCGCTGTGGATGTCGATATTATCGCCGAGGATGTCGGAGGCCATCACGGAGCACTCGATATGCCACCCGGGCCGACCCTCCCCCCACGGGGAGGGCCAGCGCGGCTCGCCAGGCTTCGAGAACTTCCACAGCGCGAAGTCGTTCGGGCTGCGCTTCTCGCCCTCGACGTCCTTCGAAAGCGCGCCCTCGCCCTCGGCCATCTCCTCCTCGGTGGCCTCGCGATCGCCGCCGGGCTTGAGCTTGGGGTAATCATAGCCCTCCCGCACGAAGGCCTCGGTGTCGAAAAAGATCGAGCTCGTGCCCTGGTAGGCGAAGCCGTTCGCGAGGACCTTCTGGATAAAAGCCACCACCTGCGGGACGTACTCGGTCACCCGCGTGATGACATCCGGCTCGCGAATCCCCAGACGCGCCATGTCGTCAAAGAAAGTCCGCTCGTAAAACCGGGCGTGCTCCTCGAAGATCTTCTGGTCGACCACGGCATGGCCCTCGAGCTGGTCCAGCAGCTCCCCATTCACCCCGCTCGCGGCGTCGAAGAGGGCCTCGAAGTCGGTCCCCGCCGCGGCCGCCACGATCACCTGCGTCGTCTCCGTGAATTGCCCTTCCTTTAACTCGAGCTCGAGCAGCTTCTCCGCCCGTTCAGCGCGCACGCGGCTGCTGGCGTCGGCGGGCAGGGGCAGCGAAAGCCGCGCCCGCCGCCCCGCGAGGCCGTCCGCGGCGGCCTTGAGCGCCCGTTGCGTGAACTCCCGCAGCCCTGCCATCCCCTCCCCGTGCAGGGTTCGCGCTTTAAACCCCGCCAGAAGACAGTTCGTGCGCGCGCGTTTGATTATTTTGTCGTCGATATCGGTAATATTCATCTGGTAAATCACGGCGTAGCCAAAGTAGTCCTCCATCACGCGGCGTATGATATCGAAGGTAAGGTACGCCCGGGCGTGGCCGAGGTGGCTGAGGTCGTAGACCGTCGGGCCGCAGGTGTACCACCGCACCGCCCCCCCTTCCGTCCGCGGCGCGAAGGCCTCGGGGCATTCCGTCAGGGAATTGACAAACCAAAGCCCCTTCGGGTCCTTCCAAACCGGCGGATGCCAAGGGGGGTGGCGATCGCGCTTGACCGGCTCGCGCGAAAGCCCGTCCGCGAGCTCGGGCGTTGTCATTGATGCGGAAAAAGAGAAGGGGTCAATACCGCGCGGCAGATGGTGCTGTGATGGTTGTGGGGTGTGTGAGTGTAGTTCTTCTTCTTCGGTTTTTTCGGCTTCTTCCTTATTGCAGGACCACGGCGGGGGAGAAAAGGGTGGGGAAGGAGACCCGTGGAAACGGCTCAAGGCTCGCAAAGCGGCGAACCAGAGGAAAGAGGGGGTCAGAGAAGGGTTCATAACGTAACGCCGAACCCCACTATAGGGTGGGGGGCGGTAGAAAACATAACATGGTAAGCCCTGAGGGCGTTTTCCAGATAAACGAACATTCGCCTTATCCATGCAATGCCTCGATTGCAATGGGGAGAATGACGTGTAGTCGAAGTGAGGCACCCAAGAAGCCGCTACCAAGAAAGACTTCGCGGAAACTTCGAGAGAAAGGGAGGATTCCAAACACCAAGACTTGAACCCTAGACCCATTGCCGGCTCCGATACACTCCTTATGGACAAAGAAGGATGCACAGCTTCTGCTATCCATGGTGAGATAAAATAACACTGAGGAAGGACATGCGCTTGGCGAAGAACCATAAAATTTTCCATTCCGCCAGCGTCGATGCCCTTCTCCTCTCTTTTCTTTAGGAAGGGAAGGTACGATCCCGAACCGCAGCGAGTCAACATCCCTCCCAGAATGTAGGCAACCGAAAAGGTGATGCCAGGACGATTATCAGCCTTTAAAATCAAAAGCGCCCTCGTAGATAACTTGTAAAGCCATCCCGAACGCGTCGGTCTGCTGAGGCTCGTGGAAATGTCAAGGAAGCTTCGGTAAGATTTATAGTACTTTGAAACGTATCGGCCGTTTTGGACTGCAGGGGGTGCCCCACCTATGCGGTCGTGGAGGGGCAATCTAGTAGTATTGATCGGCATATCAACCGTGGTGGTGGTTAATCGATCGGTTTTCCCCCATACCAATTTATCCATGATCATCCTGTAACCAAGGGAAGTGGCAAAGTCGATAAAACAAGACTATGCATCCACCAACCAGCACAATACTTTTTATTATCCCCGTTGACAGAGATTTCAACAAAATTCTGATGAACCTTTTCTATCCCTTTAAACCAGATCGCAAAATGAATTATCCTTCCAATTGTATTTTACAAAAGGCAAAAACAAATTGATAACCTGGCTAGGACAAACGAAAAGCAACGAAGACGATAGGCTAAGCGAATCTATAGAAATAACAAACTCGAACTTCTTTTGTTACATCTCCAACTATTACAGGGAGTTCAAGCGCAGTTTGTGTAGATTTTTTTTTAACCCTCTTAAAGTTGATTAAGGTTGTGTTTTATTTTTTGATTGCGCGTGCAAACATAAATCTGATGTAAAGAGAATCGTACACTGACACCTCCATTTTTTCAGCCCCTCCCCTTTCCTTCGATTCCACTATCTGACTGATTAACTTATTTGTCTATTCTGTTCCGGCCGTGGGTCCCTTCCCTTCGCAGTCGTTTAAATGCTCGTACAGAGCCATCCAGGAAGACCCATAAAGAGGCTACCGTCTTCTCCATCCACTCGGTTTTTCGAGACGCGGAGACGTAGCCTGTAGGCATCACGCAGGAAGCGAGTTCCTGCGGGTCGGCGTCCGAGATGACCTCGAAAACAGGGGGGAGGGCAGCCCGCACCACCGCCGGCCCGCAGATTCCAGACGGCGGCGGGAGGGGGGGGGTTTCTC